TTTTTTTTTAGGCTCCGGGAAGCGGGCGGGGAAGGAGCTGGGAGCAGAGGCTGGCGGGCTTCTCCTAGGAGCGCTCGCCGGCGTTTTGTCCGCAGGTTCCAGACAGGATGCGAGAGCTGCAGCGTGAACCTTTTTATTAAACGGCTCCTGTCAGGCTTTGCTTTGCCCCTCCGTTTTGGCTTCCCCCCACAATAAACCGTTCCAGGTTTGGAAGCAGAAATGGCAGATTCTCTGCTTGTCAGGCCCCCGCAGCGGTTCTGTCCCTGACACACTGCAGCAGTAGGCCTTTCTTTAAGATGAAGCAGGCATTTCGATGACAATTTTGCCGATATTCTTGTTTTCTTCCATGATCCTGTGTGCCTCTGCAATCTCGTGCAGAGGGTAAACACTGTCAACGAGTGGTTGGAGATGAGGGGAGCTTCCTGCAGAAAAATACGGCAGCACGTTTTCCGTGAAGGCTTTCACCAGCTGTTCCTTATACTGAAGAAAACATCAAAGCATTTTGAAGATTATTTCCAACCATTTCATTCACAGAGTAAGCACAGCATACAAAACGCAATTCTCAGGGTGACTCTGACATTCTTTTAGTGAGACACACGTAAACATCTGACAGGTGTAAATGACAAGAAGGAAACTTTTTCATTAATTATACTGTAATTGAATTAAATTCTCCAAACAAGTGATACAAGCTCAATGCAGAACCATAGATTAATTATATTGTAATTGAATGAAATTATACCAAACAAGTATAAGCTCAGTGCAGAACCATTTAAACTCAAACTGATAAAATTCTGGAGAATAGTATGTATTAGACCAGGGAGAGAATCTATCCTAGGGCTCTGCACTGCTGTCTTTTACTGCAGTATCTGAGAATTTTCCACACAAAGTGATTTTCCTTGCTAATTCCTGGCTATCCAAATGGCCTTGGTCTCTACTCTGAAAAATTATCTAATAGACGTTTTTTCTCTTCCCCCCACCCCTTGACTTGATCAAATTGCCTAATCTCTTGAGTTTTGTTTTTTCTTAGGATAAAGATTTGGATCTTTACATTATGCTACTTGTGAAGAAGGTTAAGAAGTCCTGGGTATCATTCCTCTGATTCCATAGTTGTAAAAGGGAGGCATTTGCTAAAAATAGAAAAGGGAAATGAAAACTTAATTTCACAATGTTTTGCAAAGTATGTAGTAATGGTTCAAGGTGGTGCTTTTTTTGGAATCGATGCGTTAGATTCTGCTTTAACACTGGTATTGAAAGCAAGCTCTCAAAACTATCATCAATTTTCAGATCAAACCATAGGCACTGTTGATAGCCATTACTTGCCTCCTTGTCTCGTGATCGGAATAGACTTGTATGGATGCTCGCTCTTTTGTAAAGCAGCCTTGCAAGCAAATCTCCACGTACTTCACCTCCACTCAGTAGTCCATAAACAATCCACCGGCCGTCAGTACTGTTGCAGCCGGCTTTCTTCCCCTGCCTGTGGCAACAACTCCCGTTCGAGGTGAGACGGCACGAGAGCCACACATCCCCCGCCCTCGGGCCACTGAGACACAGACACCAATATGAGGATATCACAAATGGCGTTTATTAACTCTCTTTCACTGCTTTTATATGCAAACTACTTCGTTCCCGCCTTTGCAGTTACATCATAAGCTCTATCACGGGGGGGTCAGTCCCTGTCCTTTCCGTACATCGCGAGATCTTCCGGTCACCAATCCCTACATTTTCCCCCTCCCCATGACTACTTAAAATTCAGCTGTGCGCATTATGCATTGCTAATAAGCGTTCAGATATCTATCTCTTATCAAGCGAGCTTTAAGCTTTCTAAGATACAGGGCCAAAAACGGGCATTCAAAACACACTATTAAGAAGACAACCATTACTCCCAAAGCAATTAATACCATTTTTTTCCAGTCTAGTCAGTTCAACAGCCGCGACCGTACACCATCTATAAGGTTATCCAACCATTTCCAGCCCTGTTCTTTATATACTACCGTCCGTACTAAGTCATTTCCGATCTAAGCTAAACTAAGCGGCACACAATAGTGAAATGCATCTCTTGCTCTTGCCCAAGCACGCGCGTGAGAGGTAGCATTACTATTTCCATAAGGCACAACATACAGAATACAATCATGATTGTACAAGTTTTTCAAAGAGAATCCTTCCCTCTCAAGCTTCGGTTTCTCAACAGCTCGTCAGGTGATTCTAGCTTCTGGCACTTAAGTTTGCTTTTCTTCGTTCTGCTTTTCTCTTCAGCTTTTCCCAGGAATATCTCCTAGAAGAAAAACTCACAGATATGCATTAGCCTTGAAATTTGGCCGTACCCACCGGGCAGGTACCCATCTGATAGTATTGTCTTTCTTTACTGCAGCATAACCCCTTCCCATTGTGATCAGTCGCCACCCCTCCTCCCACTCTCCCTGTTCTGGGAAATGGACTCTCACCGATGGACCTTCCTCTACGGCTTTCACTAACCAGTGTTTCTGTGTTGGGGTGCTTGTCTCATCTCCTCGAATGTGATGATTCAAGGCATACAATGCTCGAGTTAAAATTGATTGTTGTTCCTGAACGGGTATAGCTTGGTGGTATCCTTCCCCCTCCCCAAGAATCTGAATTTTATGTTTCAGTGTCTGATTAGCACGCTCAACTATAGCTTGTCCCTGGCTATTAT